AAGGGTTGGCTATCTGCCCACAGTACGCTGGTCACTGCTGATCTGCAGTTTGCCAGTCTGCACTCACTTACGCTCCACAGTTTGCTGGTCCTCCGCCTCAAAAGGATAGGAACCTCTGACTTAGAGGACAAGGAAGGAGAGAAGGAGGAGCAGTTACATCAGGGTTGGGCAAAGTCAGACCCATGGGCTGGACTGGGTGCACGGCAGACTCCATTTCCCAGGAGCCTCTTCCCACGTTGCTGCAGCTGGTTTTCACGGACACCCCAGGAGTGGCATGGCTGTGACAGCAGGGAGCCAGTGGCTCCATGTGCTACCATCCCTTCCTTCCTTCCCAGCTTCTCTCCACATAGCAGAGAGAAACAGCCATCCTCATTCGCTGTATGTTATTGGTGCCATTTTAGTCAGGGGATGGGGCAGGAACACCAGACCTTCCTTACACTGCTGCTCCATGACACTTGGTGGTGCCGTAGGCATAATCAGTATACTTTGCCTATTTTCGCCCTCATATTTTGCCAATCGCCACAACAATTCAGCCATGGGGAGACCATCAGTCTTCTCCCTTTTCTCTCCTGTCTCCATAATTCCACCCTAAATGAATCAAACAACCCCTTTTTTCTCTTTTTCTTGACCTCTTCCTTCTATCTTCTCCTTAAATTGGAGTCCTTGCACTTGGTCACAAAGCTAGCCATGCGCCAGCAGTAAAACCTTGGCACAGTGGACTTTTAACTCTTCCTTGTCCCACGCCTCCTCCTCAGCAATATCTTTCTGCTCTTTCTTGGGATTTCCATCTAAGTCTGCGAACAAATATAACAATTCCTTCCTCTCTCTATATGCATCTGGCCTTTCTTCTGGTTGTTGCCTTTCCTGATAAAACATCAGAATCAGCATCTTACTTGGGAAAAATAAATCTAATATTACTCTCTGCACTTTACTGCTATCTACAAGCCATCCCCTAACCTCTGAAGGCATGATGGCAAAATCTTTTGAGTCTATGTACTCTTGACATAAATACACTAAATCACTTACTGAAAACCTGCTGCCCTTTTTATCAGGATCTGTTACTGATAGCCATGTAATCACCATGTCCCATCTCAGGGATCCAAATTCTTTTCCAGCAGCCTTACATTGTTCCAGAGCAAATGGAACTGAAACCTCCCTGATAGTAGCCTTTCTCTCCCTATCTCTCCTCTCAGTTGTCTTCCAAGTTGTAATAGGATCCATTGGTACTTGGGACTGTGAAAACTGCTGTCCTTGCAATATGGGGCATTGGATGAGGATTGACTTGTCTGATCACTCCCCCATCTACCCTCCTTGTAATCATAATACAAGGTGTATAGTTCTGGGAATTCATCATCATCATCATCATCAGTATCAAACCCTCCTTTTTCATCATGGCTACCTTCCCCAAGACTTCCCTGGATCACAGCCACAATCCCCTTTAAGACTGATAACTTCTGCTTTAATGCTTGTATCTGTTGCTTACATACCAAATGATCTACCTGCTTCCCAGCTTCTTATTCCTGAACGACTGCACAAATACCTACCCCTACCTTTTGTGCCTGTCATTTCCACTTTTTTTCCTCATATCTTTTCCCTCCAACTCCTGCAATACTTTCTTCAAACTTTGTTCACACTCAGCTATCCTACATGCATCTTTCAACGAAGTTTGTAATCTCATTACCTGGGCTCTCAAGTTTTCCATCTCTTTTAGTTTTCTTATCTATACTTGATTTTTTAGTTTTCTTATCTATACCTGATTTTTTTTTCTCTAAAATCAACCACGAAACCATTGCTGGAAAAACTCCTCATAAGCATTCCCACTGCTCTCAAACACATCATGCTTCCAAAATTTAGGAGAATGTCTCCTATCCCAAAAGCAAGGTTTGTGACCTCTGCTATCCACTGTTCAAATTTGTTTACTTTGGAATCATATTTTCTTTCCAAAAAAGGGGAAAATGCTTCCAACTGGTATCTGTACCAGTCCCCTTTTCCCAAGAGTTATGGTTTACCTATGTGCCTTACCTAGGGAGGTATATAAATATATTTACAATGGCCTCCAGCCACTGATGTGCCTCTTGGTGTTGGCCTGGTTCTTGGCCTGTACCATCACCAGAGCCCTGGGCTCCCACCTCCAACCACTGCCACTGCCCCTCTGACTCTGGTCTGGCATGCTCAGCCCTGGATGTCAGCAGTGCCTGCTCTAGGCTTTGATCTTTAGCCCTTCAGTTTAATTCTCCTCTGTTCCCATGGTCAATTATGGCCTTCTCAGATCCTAATCTAACGGCCTCCAGCTGCTGATGCTGCACCTCCAGCTCCGGTCTGGCACTCTTAGCCCTGGATATCAGCAATGCTTCTTGGTCCTAGCTATGGCCTAGTCCAGCTCAGCAATTCAAGAAATCTACTTACATGCCAATCTCTCTGGTTTTGGCCGTGCCCATCCAGGGTCACGAAGTCTATTAGCCAGATTGTTCAGATTGTTAATTAAGCAATTTAGCTCAGGAAGGGGTGGGAGGGAGCCTAGATTAAAATATCGGTAGCCATTCCAGTTTTTTAACTAGGTTTATCGAAAGTTAAGAACCAGGGCACAATAGGTTAACCAACATGTAACAGTAGCCTGCAGTGAGACGAAAGGCCTGCCTCAGGTCCCAGAGAATGCCCTACCTGCCTGGCCCTGGCCCGCTGCACCTGTTTACCCAATTATTTGTTGCAAAAGTTATCTAACACAAATCCTCCTCAGGGACTGACGCTCCCAGGTCACGGTCCAGTCAATCTTCAACCATTCGCTAAGATAAACAGAACATGCCTTGAATTGCCCCAGTTTGCATGAGCTCTACCAGACTTTGACCCCAGTACAAATGTGGAAATCAGTGGTGTAATGATGGGCAGGTGAAAGGGGCATAAGCCCAGAGCGCTGCCTAATTAGGGTCAATAGAAAAGTTGCCAAGCACAAATCCTTGCCAGGACCCCCCCACTCCTGGGTCACAATCCATTTGTTCTTTAACAGATCACTTAGACCAACAGAACCTGACTTGAAATTTTCATCAGTTTGAAAGAATTATTGTGAGCGAAGGGAAGAGGGTCCCAAGAGAAGCCAGGTTGGCAAGGGCTGAAAAACCACCAGGGGGCATTGTGACCAGCCCTGAGATGGGTACTTGCTACACTCCCATACTGGGTACCACCACCACTCAGGGCACAGCCCTGTTTAGTTCCACCTCTGGAGAAAATAAATACTTTAACCTAATCTGTGAGGTGGCATCACATCTGAGTTACACCACTAGGGAGTAAGGTGACAGAAGAATTCTCATTTGACACTGGTGTGTCTGACGTTGGGAACGTGGAAAGGAGAGAAGACATTTTATGAGGCTTTTTTAGGACAAACCACATCCTTTGATGTGTAACCACTGTCACCCAACAAGGTGTTAGTGCAGGGTGGTGGACATGCTTAGATTGCCCATGTGATGTCACCAAGGTAAAGGATGGTTCTCCTCTGCTTCTTGGACACAACAGGAACCTCCTGAGAATTAAATCACATCTAAATGCCAAGGATTCACAGGTCTGCCTGTGTTAAAATGGAAGAAATGGAGTTTGTCCTGAATGAGACCAACACAACCAGGCCCTGCCAGACTTCAGGTTCCCAGAGCTGGTGATATGGGTGGAAATACCACGTAGTCCACTGTGAGGTCTCTTGGACACCTGGTCCCAGAATGTACCCACTGTGTCACTCTGGCAATAAATCTCCTCTCCATGGTCTTTGCTCACCTCTTCTTAGGGGAGGAAAAGAGGCAGCTTTCCCCATGTCCCACTTATCGGTCTCACTGAGGATGAGGGGCTGCTATCCCAATGGAGCCTCTGACAGTCACTGCAGGGGTGATGATATGAAGGCTGTTGTGGCAACACATGGTGCAAAGTTGCATACAGTCCCTCCTCCATCTACCAGTGCAGGCCCCTCAGTCCAGCTGCAGTTCACAGCTGGTAGGGGCAGATGTCACCCTATTTTTTACTGCTGAACAAAAAGAGGCTGTTTTTGCCTGGTTGACTTGCATGTCTAGTGAACTCAAGCACACTACATGACTTAAGTTTAATTCTCAGCCCTTTAAAATAACCCTTCTATTCAAAAACATATTTGGTACTGTTTTTTCATTGGGATCCAGCCTCTAAGTCTTGTGCCTACAAGCAAGTCCATGAGGGTAGGGGTCCATAGCAACAGACCTCTATGGAGCATTCAGGGCTTTCTGTGTATTTGTACGCCCACCCTTTCTGGTGGTTTCAGTTCTGCTGTGTGTGACTGCGTTTTTAGGGATATAGTAACATTAGAGGAACAAATGCAGGTTCATAGAGTACTTTGCCTTTTGTGGACCGGGATATGTTTTCATTACTTAACCCCCCCCAAAAAGTACAAGAGAAAAAAGGTAAATTACTGAGATGTTCTTCCAGCATGTGAATTTGATACTGTTAAATGTCTGTTCTATTTCTTTCTTTCTTTCTTTAATCCTTTGTTATATTTTAGTGAGCAGCTCTGTCCACAGATCAAAGGAGCAAGTTTTAATTATACTGTATTTCCTTTAGTGAAAACAGATATCCATCTTAATTTAACTCATTCCTCCCGCCCTAACCTGTGAATGAGATAAAACAATTCTATTCAAATGCATAATCCATCAAATAGCAATCTGTAACCTGACAGATTGTTCTTTAACTGCTTAAATAGACTGTTATGTTTTGTACTGCATGGTTAAATGTAGCTGGTCCTCCAAATTCACCCTCTCTCTCCTCTGCTTCCCAACCCTGGCAGAAGCGTAGGGGATTGTAACGCTGCTGATCTTTGAAGCACTATCTCAGGACCATAAACTCAAACTTAGTTTTTTTCCCTGTAAAATTACTACTCGCATCTACTTAGCAAGGAAAGAGTTACTTTGTCCTCCCTGTGCTGAAACCCTCCTCTTTTCGCTACTTGCCCTATTGCTTCCTGCTTTTCTCCTGTTTAAGTGAGGGCAGGGAGGGAATTGGACAATGGAAAAGGGGAGGGAGAAGACTGAAAGGAGGTTGGACAAATAGGAGGAGTTTGTCTGCTAGTCCCAACAGCCTTTCTCCCTTTGGCTCAGAAGCAGCCTTACAACCCTCTTTGGTTTCAGAGACATAGGGAGTCCTCAGGTATGTAGGGTGTTCCAGACGCTGCAGAGCTACCCCTAGCTTACCATGACTACAGCTTTACAGGGGATGCTGTGGGGAGGAGTTGCTTTAACTTGTAATTAGACCAAATCAGACTTAGAGGTTTTGAACACAGGAGTCAGAGTTGTTTGTGAAGTGTGGAGGGCAAAGGTAAGAACTGGATGCCAGGTCTGCTGCAGCAGGGTGTGGAGGGTCAGATTTGTGAGAGGCTTTCAGGGGTCTAATGTTCAAGAAGTTTTCTGAGTGGGATTTTCTAAGATGCCTAGGAACCAAAACATGTGCTGAAATCAATACTAGCTTCACCTCTGGTTCCATGTCAAATTTAGAAACTTGTCCTTTTCTTGGCAGGGGGCCAGTGCTCCTCTGCTGTCTCTAAGGGCAGAAGAGGAAGGGGGTGAAAGGTGCTAGGAACACACTGTGATTAGAAAGAGAGAAGGGATATGGGAACCTGCCTTGTTCTGGAGTGTGTATATATGTATGTGCATGATCAATGGATGGATTTGTGTGATCAAATGGGCCAAGTACATACAGTCAAAAAGTCCAAGGCTGAATTGATTCAATCTTCACAGGTTAGTCTATGCTGCGTAGATTGAACCAATAAGCAAGTGAACAGGCATTCACTTTTGATTCTAGAAATGCCAGGCCAGATGCTGGGGGGTGCTAGAGCACACTCCCCTGCTCAGCTAGGGCAGACAGCTTGGGCCAAGGCTAGCCTGCCCACCCTGCGAGGAGGAGGGGTTTGTGAGGGAGGTGCAAAGCATCCTGGGATGCTGAGGGACTGAGTTAACTTGAATGTGGAGGGGTTCTGGGACAGACGTTCAATTAACCTGTTTAACCTCAGTTAGTTCAGTCTGATAGTACATCCATCCACATTTATCTTAAACCAGTTTTGGCCATTTTGCAAGTGGTTTATGTGCACTGAACTTCTGTTGTGTTACAGATTTGAACTGGTTTCCAATCACACTGGTTAATGTGCAATTTCTGTCCCTAGCCATGAATCAGATACATCCTGTGGGACTGTGGCTGTATCAGTGTGACAAAGCATGTTCTAAAGAAAGCCCAGTGTTGGCTTTGGGCAGCAGCACTCAGTCTGGGTTGCCAAAAGGGTTGTAATGCACGAGACCATTGTGGCAGGAACTACCATTCCCAGCAGGCTGCTGTGGGAAAGAGGAAGGAAATAGAAGGGGAGGTAGAGAAACAGCTCAGAGAGGAGAGAGTGGGAGAGAGAAAGAAGCAGCAGCAAGCAAGAGTGCATGCTGAGACTCAGGAGCTGCAGCAAGGCTCAGACGAGAAGATCGGGTACACAGCAACTGACAATTTTGTGAGACTAACGACTGATTTGAGAGTCCCCCTGTCTCAAACCCCCACCTGGAGTTAAGGGAGGGCTTAAGGTTTCTTCAGTGTATTGCACCACATTGTTAATGTCTCTATTTGTTTTCTGGCTATCTGTTCTTGAAGGGTTTTATTACTAAGTAATTGCTATTGTCTGTTATGTATGTTTTCTGTTATGTATAGTCGGAGCACATGTACCTCAATGTTTGCTCACCCGTGTTTTTCCCAATGTGCTTAGCCTGTTGGCCTGTGACCCTATCCCTTCCCCATATATATTTGAGAACCGTCCCTCTGGCTTTGTGCCATTTTTCCAATGTTCAGTACACAGGAAACTCCTGGCTTATCTAGGATTCAGCATGGATATTAAGGTAGGAGCAGCTTGGTGCTAACCCTGGTTCTGCAGCATGGCTTTGGTTGAGTCATGTAAGTTTTCTATTCTTTGTGCGCTGCACATTGAACTAGAAATGCTAATGCTGGCCCTAAATGTGCAGTTGGAACATAAGAAAAAAATAACAGGTTGCAGCTAGCGCTTGCAGGCATTAGTGCATCCCCTGTGAGTTGGCCTGGAGGATGTAAGGAACATCAAAGTGCCCCTTGTGCACCAGTGCCTCCTGCAATAGCATAAATAGTCCCCTAGTGATAGCGCTGTCTGTCACAGGAGTGCCAAGGCTGAATGCATGAATGTTTGTAAAGGGGGCCTTGGAAGGAAGATGTGATGGGAGCTTATTGCCCCAGGAGCTCCCTTTTATATCTGGATCCTGCCTTAGTGGGTCTGTCAATGAATAATACAAATATTTAATAAAAATAAAGGTGCCAGTTAGGAGTTAACATTCAGTTGTGAAAGAGCCAAAATAGGAGCTCTGACTTCGTGTGTAAAAGCTGTTGGTAGAGCACCAGTCCCTGAATTGTTTAGGTGCAGCACTATTAAAGGAGGTACAGTTAGCCCTACTCAGTAAACTCTCAATCACTTTTGCTCTAAGCCATGGGGAAATTTAGCACTTACAACTCCAGGGGCTCTCCTGTTACATAGTAGTGTCAGTAAAAACTTTCCAAGGAGGGAACTGGCAGATGAGCCCACAGTGCTATCAGTAAATATTCCCTCTTGCCTGCAGAAATCCCCAGCCCTCACAGCCATCTGTGCTGCAGTTTGTCATAAGTTTCTCCAAGCTGCTACTTCCCATTAGACCTCTGATTCAATGCTGCCTCTATGTTGGCTGCTCCTAGACTCATAGATATTAGGGTCGGACGGGACCTATTAGATCATCGAGTCTGACCCCCTGCCCAAGGCAGGAAAGAGTGCTGGGGTCAAACAACCCCGGCAAGGTGTTCATCTAGCCTCCTCTTAAAGACCCCCAGGGTAGGAGCCAGCACCACTTCTCTTGGAAGTTGGTTCCAGATCTTAGCCGCCCTGACAGTGAAGTAGCGCCTCCTGATGTCTAGTCTGAATCTACTCTCCATCAACTTATGGCCGTTATTCCTTGTTACTCCCAGTAGTGCTCAGGGGAACAGGGACTCTCCTATTGCCCGCTGGTCTCCCTTGGCCAGTTTATAGACGGCCACCAGATTCCCTCTCAGCCTCCTCTTGTGGAAGCTGAACAGGTTCAGGTCCTGTAGCCGCTCCTCGTAGGGCCTGCCCTGCTGCCCCCTAATCATACAAATGGCCCTCCTCTGGACCCTCGATGCTGTCCACATCCCTCCTAAAGTGCAGTGTCCACAACTGGTGCTAATTTTGTGGTACACCTGTCAAAAAAGTTGGCCAGCACCATCCTATGATAGGAGCATACTTGTGAGTTTACTGTGCAACAGGGTGTTGCAATTCTACCACCTTTTACCAGATGGAGGACTGGATCATCTGACCTAAGGCGCTTGTCTCACCGTCTCACAGTTCAGTACATTGCAGTTCAATTGTTTAGTGTTCCCAGTTTCACTTTCTCTGTCTCCTCTCTCTTTGTTATTCCTACTAGAGCTCTGCTTTGGCAATGGCCAAGCTCACAGTCACCCCAAGGACATCCCTTGTTGATGAACCAGTGAAAATCCATGTCTCTGGCTTGGCTCCCTCTGAGCTGGTGACCCTCCAAGCCTCTTTGACAGATGAGAAGGGGGTGCTTTTCCAGTCCAGAGCTTTCTACAGGACTGATGAGGCTGGTGAGGTTGATTTGGAGCAAGCTGCTGCTCTGGGAGGAGATTATGCTGGCGTGCACCCCATGGGTCTTTTCCAGTTCCTGAAACCAGAAAAGATGTTTCACAGGTTGATGAAACGAGATGTGATGCAGAGTCCATTCCACGTGAGCCTGGATTTGTTCAGCTCATTCCACTTGGTTTCCACACCCCATGATCAGCCTGTGATAAGCCAGACTGTGGAAAGATGGCATGTGGCACCGGGAGTCCAACGAATCCTGATCAGGGACGGCAGAGTGCGTGGGGCCCTCTTCCTCCCACCAGGTGAAAGACCTCCATCTCAATTCTAGAGCTTGGTGACCCTGCCTTATGTAGTGATTTATTCCACCAGCAGTGATTTTTTATTTATTTATACAGGAATGGTCTGCCCCCTGATCACAAGCTTCTCCAGTGTGGTTGTTATGCTAAGTTATTTGCCAAATGGCTCCTCCAATGGACTCCTAAAGAGCAGACTGACCACAGGCGGCTTCCTGCGAATGTTCCAAACCTGATCTATGTTGACCAGCTGTCACTAGAGTCATGGGTCTCATGGGGTCGTGTTGTTCCTTGACCGAATAACAGCACACTAGATAAGTGTGTCTTTTGGGAGTCAGTTTCCACTGAGAGTGCTTCTGTTGATGTTCTCAAAATTCCTTTTGGATAATATCAGCCAGTGTTTGCATAAAGTTCTCAGTGCTCACAAATTAACCTGCCAGTAAACTCCAGAAGCTATGATAAAAACAACACAGACTCATGCACACGTGCCAGGACTGCAGACTTACACAGATCAGAGTCTATTTATTCAAAACCCTGAGAAACTCCTCACAGACTTTCCTTGCTGTTTTTACTCAATTGCCCTCTTTTATCTCATTTCAATTCTATATAACTGGATTACACTGGAGAACTGGATATGTTCTCCCTTCTGTCCTGTGCCTCTTTCTCTATCTTATATTTCTGAGGGTGTTACAAACTGTGAATAGTTTGCACATTGTAGTTACAAGCTCTCTATCTGCAAACAGCTATGAAAGTGTTGGTGGTTTTTCCATACAGTGAGTATAACTGTTTGAATACAGTGACTTAGATAAGTGTGTGTGTGCAAGTGCATGTTTTAGCATTGTGAAGCACCAGGATGAAAGTGGTGGTGTAGAGCAGCACACTTTTGGGTTTCAAGGCTGGAGGGTCTGTAAGACATGAGAAGTTATGAAGTTTTATGATAGGGTAGGAGTTCCTGTTTGTCCATGGCTGAAGAGCCTTCCAGGGAGCCAAGTATAAGACTCTCTTACTGACTACTCAACTTGTGTTCCTTTAGACATAAAGGCACTTTGGAAGATGGGATTATGTGATTGGAGGTGGATTAAAGCAAGTGATGTAAATAGGGAAATGGGATGAAGTTTGGAGTGCTTATTGGCCAAGGTCAGCAGATGCAGGAAAAAACAGCATTTGAAAAACCAAAGATGACCAGATGGTAGCACAGACTCCATTCACTGCACTTTAGCTGTGGACAAACAGGGAATCTCTTAGACTACAGTTTCACTATTTAATTAAATTGTTTGGAAATTCAGTCATGCACATTGCCATGCTCTAACCCTGAAGATCCTCATTTGGATCGTGATGGAGCCACTGAATGAATGTGTAACGTGGAACTAAATTTCAACTGGGCTGGGTTCCACTTCACAATAGCAGGCTGGGGTTTATCCTGGGTTTTCTAGGTGACTTGTCTGATACTGTTTCAGGCAGATACAAGAATTTTTCTCCGGTCTTGGGAACCAGCTGCATGGTGTAAAAACAGAAAAAGTGAAGTCCTGTGGATATGAACAAATCTAGGATTTTGAAAAGAGGGGTGCAGATGACATGGTGCATTTTCACGTGTAACAATACATTTTTCTCCAGTTAAAAAAAAAAGAACTAGAAATTTTACTAGTATTCTAGGAGCCAATGGCTATATTATTTGGTTTAAAATCAAATAATTTTAACTTTATTGGGATGTGCATTAATCTGCTATTTCACATATTATGGATAAAACCCACAACAAACTAGGCAACAAATAATCAAAAGGTGTTGTTTCATTACTTTGGTAGTCATTAGAATTAAATGTAATCTCTCTTTCCCATTCATAAAAAAAATCTAGCCTTCTTGAGGATCTTGACAGTGCATCTAGTGCTTCACTGAAACCTTTTTTCCCTCACCTGAGTTAATGTTCATCCAAGTTAATATTTTCCACACCAAAATTAATGGTCATCTGAGTTAATATTTTCCACACCAGAGTTAATATTTTTAGCTAGAGTTAGAAAGAGTCTGCAGGCCTGAAAAATAGGAACAACATTACCAAGAGCAGCTAGCAGACAGCAGAATTACAGAAGAAAGGGTACATTGAGTAGTAGAGTATCCAAACCATTAAAAAGGTGAGAGGTTGTTAACACCTCTGGAATGAAGAATTAAGAAGGAATCAGGTAGATTATAATGAGCCATGAAGTCAGGTGACTCCCTCACTCCTGCTTGAATACAAATGCTGCTGCCACTGCCAGGCAGCTGGTTTTAAAGTTTGGGTGGATCAAGAATCAAAGAGGACTGCAACTGTACCACTGCACTTCCCCACCCCCTGATCTGCCCCTGCCTGTGGAGCTGTAAGGTATTAGGAAGGACCCTCACCTTAGCCAGAACCATTCATTTTTTTACTTCCCTGGTTTCTTGTTCATCTCCTTAGGAGAAGGTCCTTTCCCAGGGCTGATTGACCTGTTTGGCGGCGTGCGTGGACTTATTGAATTTCGAGCCAGTCTTCTCGCCAGTCGTGGTTTCGCTGCACTTGCCCTGGCGTACTTTGGTTATGAAGACCTGCCTGAGATTCTAATTGAGGTGGATCTGGAATACTTTGAGGAAGCCATCAACATCCTCTTGAGACACCCCAAGGTACATTCCTTTCGCAGATAAGCTCACCCTCGTTTCCCCCTAGCCCAACCACTGCTGGACACAGCCAACAGGCCTTGGAAGACTGTGGTAACTATATGGACCTTCACACGCATTCCCTGCAGTCAGCAGCAAGCTAGTCCACACCTATACCTAGAAGGGCAAGGGCTGTGTACAGCCCTTTGTTCTCCTTCTGCTGAGTTTGATCTTTGAGAGATGCCATCTTCTCTATGACCTTCTCCAGAGATGACTGTGTTCTATATTCCACACAGGACTGCCCGTTAAGAGCTGGAAAAAAGTCTACAGAGCTCATGATTTGACTCTTCCAGCAATACAGATTAGAACTTGTGAACAAATAAAGAAATAGGTCAAGCCAGTCATCAAAGCCTGTGTGGCATATTTGCAGAAGATGTGTGAGTGTGTGGGGGAGAAGTGAGAGGGGACGGGGCAGGGAGTTAAGTCCCAATGTAACTATGACAGTCACATGCAGGGAGTGAATTCAGTGTTCTGAAGGTATATTTTGAAAGGTGGATGCTTGTGAATAATATTCATAATTGCATGAACCTATGTTGACTGCATGAATGCCTCAAATACACGTGTAAAAACTGGCCACTACACATACCTAATGACCTGCCCAGCCTGTAGGTGCAATCTTGATTATGCATTGCATAATTCAGGGGTGCATACCTCTTCTTTCCAGCCTAGACTATCAGATGCTTATCTACTTTACATTAATTTTGCAAGTAAAGATACAGGTACCTGGCTTATTGTCACACTATATACGTGTTTAGGTAGAGAAACTGTCATTGGTACACCACTTGAATCCCATATTCAGATTCTTGGCAGGGAGAATGAATTCTCTGACAGACTGTGCATTCGTGCCATGCTCTACCCATTTCTCTCTGCTGTGTTTCCAGGTGGGGGGAACAGGGATTGGCTTGGTCTCAGTATGCAAAGGTGCTGAGATTGCACTGGCCATGGCATCATTCCTTCCCAAGATCAAAGCCGTAGTTTGCATTAATGGGACCAGTGCCCTCAATGGGACGTCGCTTTGCTATCGGAATCTACACATCAATCCAATCCCTTACAAAATGGAGCACATACGGTATAGGTCCATGGGACAGCTGGACATCCATGACATAGTTGAGGTCATACGCACAGAGACAAGTCAGGGGAGCATCCTACCTGTAGAAAAAGCTGAAGCCAACATCCTTTTCATTGTGGGAGAAAATGACAGGAACTACAACAGCAAAGCATTTGCTGAGGAAGCGATGGAGAGAATGAGGAGGCATGAGAAGAAGAACTACAGCATGCTTTGTTATCCAGGTGCTGGACACCTGATTGAGCCCCCAGGGTCACCATTCTGCTACCACTCATGGGTCTCCATGTTTGCCTGTGTTGTCGTATGGGGAGGAGAAGCCCAGTCCCATGTTGCAGCACAGGAGCATTCTTGGAAGGAGATCCAGAAATTCCTTTGGCAGCACCTTCACCCAGGTGTAAGCAGCAAGCTCTGAATACTGGGAGGCATGGACCAAGGAATGTCTGTGCCCATCCCTTCCAGGCACCCGATTAATAAATACTAGAAATGTGCTGCCAGTTGGGAGTTCTTCATTGAAATGGAGATTCACTACAACAGAGGTCAAATAAAGGTATTTCCAGGCCCTTCACACTTATATCTTATTTTACAGGGTGGTGGCTAATGTCGGGAGGGACTGAAAAAACCTTAGCAAGGCTGATTGCATCTAACAGAGAGGCAGATGTGTGTATAGGTCCCATTCCACTCTCACCACATTTTGGACTTTAATAAAAGTCCAGAGGTTCAACTAGTTTTGCAGTCCTTTACAAAAGTTTTTCAAGGCTCCAGACCTATTAGAAAAGGGGTATGTGTAACAGAGAGCCATGGGTGCAGCTTGGACCTGCCTGCCCCGGGAGCTCCGGGAGTGATTCCTGCAGCCTGTCCTGCCCTGTCCGGGGTCAGAGCCAGGAGCCACACACCCCCAGGCAGTGGCTTCAGCTCCCACGCAGCCACTACCACACCCTCCACATGTGACTTTCGTCACCGCCCCCCCCCACCCCGTCCAACTGGAAACTTGTGCCTCAGGTAACTGGCACAGCTGCACTTAGCTTACCAGCACCACCCATTTTTCAGTTCAATTCCCTGTTAACTGGCACGAGTGGGGAAAGGGCCATTCTCTACTCGTGCCAGTTAACAGGGATTTGAACTGAAAAATAGGTGTAAATCAGTAAAAACTGAATGACTTAAAAAAATCAGGGAATTTATCAGTGAAAATTGGTAAAAACTGAGAATGCAGAACACTAGGAATACCTAATAGAGAAACCATTTGTCCAATGCAGTGTAACACTGGTGGGTTTTGTCCCTCTTCTTGATTAACTGGACTTGCGTTCAACAGTGGCTCATGTCCTTCCTGCATCCATAACAAACCCTTTTTGAAATGAACACTGCACAAACTGAAAGTTAAAAGCCCAAGTATTGCTAGGAGGGTGCTAGATGAGGTCTGGGATGGCCTTGGAAGTACTCAGCAGGCTAATTTCTCTCAGTTGTCTGCCTTTCCAAAAAAAGGCTTAGGGCATCTTCCCATAAGAGTCAAAATATCATAGAAAGACAATAGCACAGCAACGTAAGAAGATGCAACAAAATTAAGCCCTCACTCCCTGCAAATTCAGAATCAAGCCACCCCAACCTGCCATACCCCTGGCAATGATGACTTCCCCGCCATCCACCCACCCTCCCTTCTCAACCCACATTTACCTAAGCCACAAAAGAAAACAATTTTCCCCTACCAACCTCTTATTACCTTCCACTCCTACCTACGCACATGTACCTAGGTCAAACCCAGCCCCTCCTTCCCTTTCTGTCCCACATCTGTATCTCTTATGCTCATAGGGGTACATGAACATCCCCAAATCCATGTATCCACCTATTGTCCCGTGCCAAAGAAACAGAGCATTCAAAACACAAACAACAATAACTACAAAAAGATCATGATCACCTCCTCCTTTCCCATCTCTGTTTCTATCCCTGCCAAAGGGCATCCTTGAGTGTCATCTGTCTGAGGCAGCCTGCAGTCCTTTTTGAGACCCCTGCATGGCTTGGCTCAGTCCAGTTGTTGTGGCCATGCAGTATGTCTGGAGCTCAGCATCTCAGTCACTGGAGCAGGGAGGCAGTGACTTTTAGTAGCCCCTACCAAGTTGGGGAGCATATAGAGGGCCTGAGGAGACAGACAGACAGGAGGTCCTGAAGCAATTTGGCTTCTCTCCACACACACCCTTCATGGCATGGCAGGCCTTGGGCATGGTGGCTAGCTTCTCAGCCAGCTAGTCATCTCCCTCTCACCCAAGAACTAACCTTGGATCAGCAATGTATTCTAATCCATGGTGCCCAGAGAGCATACAGTGTTGTTCTAATGACATGCCAATGCTTCAAGAGAAAGGAAAAAAACCCCTGGAAATCGGTCCTATTTCAGAAGGAGAAAAAATTCCTTCCTTGCCCCAAGTATCAATAAGCAAAATCCCTGCACCTTCGCATTACCAACACCTTCCACTACACGAGGGCTACCTTCATGTCCTGAGCTGAGAATGGCAAACACAATGTCAGGTCCTTGTCTTTTCAACACTGCTGACCAGAACTGTACACACTTCCAACTTTGTGCAGTGGTCTTAGTTCCTCCTGGCTTCTACTGCCTGTACCTACCTTGGAGTCTAGCTAGCTGTTATGAGGTTCTTTCATCCTGAGTCTGCTACAAAATATGCATGTTTATGTCCAGATTTAGTTCTTCCCCATTTTGTGTGTATGGGTTTCTTTTGGTTCCAGCTGATCCTTTTTGGAATAGGCTGGTGTAACTGCTGGGTCTCAACCAGTCGCTCTCATGCTGCTCTCACTCGGGTAATTGATGTTACACGCCTTGCGGGTTCATGCCTCCGCCTGAGCTGGTGTCTTCCATTCAAGTCTTTGACCCCGTGCTCTCCTGCCACGACTTGTTGGACCTCAGTGTCAGGGGCCGTTCCTCAGGCGTGCTCGTAGACCTGTGGTTCCTCCCGGCGGCTGCTCATGGGGCTCCGCCACCCCTACACCCCAGCCTCACGCCTCCTGTGGAGCGGTGTCCGAATGGTCGACGTCTTACTCCTGGGACCCTTAAGACTGGTCCACCCCAGGGCTCCGGCACTATTTATCTCACACACGGGCCCACTTCCTTCAGATTCTCCTGGAGCTCGGGGGGGAACAAATCAAAGAAGAAAGAAAGAAAATGCTCCAACACAAAACTGGGCTCCCTGCCCCTTTAACTACCCTTCTACCTTCCTGGGTCTCAAAGGGGACACTGCCTGCCTTATCCCCTTAGGCAGTCAGGTTCCCTGCCTACTCCAAGGCACCTCCAGGTCCAGCAGCAATGCTCGCCCCGCCAGCAACCCTTCCGGGGTTCCCCTGTAGTCCTTCTCTCCCGGGGCAGACTTCTTCCAGTGTCCCCCCCGTTCCTGTACTCCCACCTGCCGTTTGCTCCGTCCTCCCGGGATGTTCCACTGCCATCTTTAAGAGGTGTTCCTGGCATCCCTCTGTCATTCCGTCTGCGGCGGCATCAAGATGATCCTCCTCTTCCTCCATCCCCGCTGTTCCTGCTCCCCTGGTCCTGTGGACTGGATCGCCTCTGCTGTGGGTTTGTATACGGCTCCGTCCCCTGACTCCCCGCCGGCTCCGCAGAGCGCGCCATCATTTTTATCTTTGCCGGCCAGCGTTCGTCACTGACATCACCAGCCAGCCACAGCTGAATAAACAGGTGGCTGACGAGCCGCGCAGGCTCTGCCTTCTGCCCCTCATGTGCTGCATTCCGAGCTGCCAGTGAGTATTCATTCTTACAGCGTGTCCCGGGACAGCTGGGTAAACCTGTCCTACTTTGAGATCTCCCTCTGAGCCAACAGCAGAAGGCAGAAGTCTCAGGATGAAACCTGGGCTGGAGTTTTCTCCTTCAAACTGCCCTCCAGATCACCTTCCAGATGGGCATTAGGATCCACTGGAGCAGGGGTGGGCAAAATGGCCCAACTGGCCAGCAGCCAGACTCCATTTCCCAGCAGCCCCTGCCCTCATGGCTTGAGCCGGTCTCCATGGAGACCCCAGCCGCACCTAAGCAGGAAAGCTCAGGTTGGGGTTGCTACAGTCTTAGACATGCCGGTAGTGCACACAGCAGAGCAAAGCTGGGGCTGCTCTGGAGCTGCTGGGATCTTGTGATGGGGGCAGCCTGCTCCAGAGCCAGGGCAGAGCCACGATCTGCAGCCTGCACACTCCAGGCAGGGGTGCACAAGCAAGGGATCACAGCTCTGACCCGGCTCCAGACCAGGCTGTCACCGCTGCAAGAAGCTGGGGCAGAGCTGCAATCCTTTGCTTGTGTGCCCCTGCCCAGAGCGTGCAGGCTGCAGATTGTGGCTCTGCCCTGGCTCTGGAGTAAGCTGCCCCCATCACAAGATCCCAGCAGCTTAGGAGCAGCCCCCTGCACGTGCTACTGGTGCATCTGAGACTGGTCTCCATGGCAAACCCAGTCTGAGCTTTCCCACACAGGTGTGGCTGGGGTCTCCATGGAGACCGGCCCAAGCCATGAGGGTAGGGGTATCTGGGTAATGGAGTCCCCGGCTGACCAGATCCAGCCCATGGGCCATCTCTGTACTGGAGCCTCCAGATGGATGCAAGTGTTCCCAACTTGCCCTCATCAGTCAGAGGAGCAGGAATCACTTTGGTCCCTGCTCTCTTGAGAAGCTGAAGAAGCCGGCTAGGGGTGGGATGGCTGGAGGTGGGAGCAGACCAGGGCAAATAAGAGTGCAGGGTATTCTCCCCCTTCCTCCCATACTCTTGTGTCTGGACTCTACCTACCACAGCTTGGCTCTTCCATGTTCTGCTGTGAACCAGGTCCTGCGCAGAGAGCGGCAAAGCACTTGGCTTGAAGAGCCAGCTGTCAGCTGTTGCTGAGGCTGGGAGAATGTCTGCTGAGAAATGTGAATGTGAGAGGCCAGGAAGTGTGCCTGGGATCTCACCAGGGCTCCCCAGAGCACCTTCCAGCCACCCTGTGGCAGGTGTAGCCCCACTTACCTTGACACTGACCCTGCCTTCTCTCCCCTTTCGGGAAGAGCAGCCACAATATACCTCCTCCCCCTCCAAGGTGCCTGCTGGAGTCTCTCTTCAGCTTAGAGAGGCTCCAGTACCTGTTAGAGGTTAGCACAGTATATGGAGAGGCTGGGTTCAGAAGAGAAACAGCCTTAAGCACCTGTGGTATGCAGAAGACAGTCCTCTGGGAAGAGGGATCAGCTCTTCTCCCCTGTCAAAACTGTTTCCTGAGAGACTGGCCTCAGGATTGAGACCTGTCCACCTCATCCTGCCCTTCAGGGCTGGGAAGGGGCAGGGGTCTGTTGCCTTCCAGATGCTGTTCATGACTCTGGCCTTGGGAGGGGATGAGCCCAGGCCTGGGGCAAAATATGGCCCCAGTCCCAAGGCAAGGCCAGGCTGCCACCACTCTTGACTTGCTGTGACCAGTGAGGCAGAAATTCCAGTCTGAGCATGAAGTCTCAGTTTTGGGGAGGGGATGAGGACAAGCCTCAGTGGAAGAGCGGGGGCAGGTGCCCAGTGACTGTGTCCTTTGCCTCCCACAGTAGTTTAAGACTTGGTTTGAGTCAAGCAACCCCATGGAGAGAGCCAGGGTCATGAGGAGCAGCACCACCCTTCCCTGCTGCACTTGCCAGCTCTTCCCACCATTTTAGATAAGTGGCCCAAGACCCTCAGGCTTCTGACCACAGGAAGAGGCAGAGCTGACTTGGATAGCCTGTCAGGTCTGCAAATACAGGAGCTCAGGGCAGTACAGAGGTGCACTTTGGGGGCAGAGCTACAAACAAATCCCTCTGGTTCTGGCTGACTGGACCCCCAGGGGTTTAGGGGCCTGTGCTCCATACACAACTCAAGGCTCTTTCAAACTTGGCCCTTGTGGTGCTTCTGCAGGCAGTGCTTGTAACAGGTCTTGCCCTAGACTCTGGCTCCCACCTCCTATGTGGGCTGAGGGATTTAGTGCTCTGGCTTTTGCTTCTGTGCCCCAGGCCTTCCCATGGGGATGCCAGTGCCAGGACAGAGCAGCCTGGGACTGAACACATTAGATGTGAATGTACTTCCTTCTCTTCTTCCACAAGGTACTTCTCAGATGTGTCCCAGCTGGGTGATGTTGTGGGCCAAGTGGGGTTACTTGTGAATGACCCAGCCAAGGACATCTGTGGGCAGGTGAAGGATGGCATCCACAAACTCTACAAAATCCTTCTGCACCAGAGGGGTGAGGAAGACACCTATGGACAGAAGCCCCCTCCCCCAGACACTGACCTGAGCTGGAGGACATGATGCTTTGTCCTGTCCAACTCAATCCGGACTGGATGAGCATTAAAGTGCAAGTGACCCTGGCTCTGTGGGGAGGGCAGCAGGGCAGGGAGACCCAAGCCCACAGCAGGCAGCCTGCATCTGCCCCTACCGCCCATGGGCTCCACTCAGCTCTGCTCTGGCTGTGCCACTGAGGGGGGCGGAGGAGTGAAGGTGGTAGACATGTGTCCTGCCTTCCCATTTTGAAAAGGTGTTCACCCTTCCCTGCAGTCCATGGGGCAAAGAGCCAGTGATTCTCAACCTGGATGTTGTGGCCCTCTAGGGAGCCTAAAGTTTGTTTTGAGGATGTTGTCAGGCACCAGGCAGTGGTATCATTATCAGGTGTGCAAACATTGTTCACAGGGTAAACCCAGAGATTTCCAATAGGAATCCACAGTGGTAGAATCATGATGCCCTGTTGCAGGCGTTCTGGGCTCTGTGCAACAGAAGAATGGCTCTGGTATTTTTCCATAGTCAAAAATGGAGGTAAAACTAAGAGCTGGTATTTTCTGAGGGCTGTCACAAGTCTAAAAAAGCTGAGAACTACTGCTTTAACCTGATCCTTGAGTCTGCTGGCACAGCCACTGAACTCAGCTCACAGGATCAAAGCCTCTGATGTTCCTAACACTGCTTAACATTTCAGGGTTTTCTCTTTTCTGATTTGATCTAGGCTTTTATTCTTGTGTGGTTCACTTGTGTGTCTACACAGTTAGCCATTGAGAGCAAGAGAAAGCATTTGGATATGGGTGTGGATGTGAGATACAGACAGGAAGCACTTCACACACAGTTACCTGGTTGCAGATACTTTATTCACAGCTCATGGCTTGAAAACAACAGATTGTATAATACAGGACCCCCAAGCACTGTTTCCATCTGTCTTGTCTGATTTTGGAAGGGGCCTGTGGTTTTTTGTAAGGGAGTAAAGAAAGTTGATAGTATGAATTAGAAACTCTTGTCTGTCTCCTTAACTGACGGGCAGTTAAAGAGATGGGTTTAATTGGGAGCAAATTAAAAAGCCGCCCCTTTGGAAAGGGGGCATGGGTACTTTGATTGATTAATCTATGTCAGTAGTGGCTGAAGTCCCCAGGACTGGTCCTACTTCACTGGAATGTATGGATCAGATGAGCCTATTTTCTTTGAGAGACCTGGGACATTTTTTCTCAAGGAAGGATCGGGTGCCTGTGCAGTCCTGCACTCTAGTAGGTGTAGCTGGCAGTGAAGAGTGACTTCATGGCAGCCATGTCACTCTTCCCAGAGGTGACATATTGTCCTTTGGAAGCTAAACCATTAATCTGAAAGATCAGGAAGAGGAGGGAACATTTGTGAAAGAGAGTAAGAAGGAAATTGGGGAAGAGGTAAAGAACATGGGCAAATAGAAAGCACTTAGGTGAATTTCCTGATGAAATTTTACAGGGCTGGGACTGGAGAACTTAAGAACTGGGTCATAGATTAAGGACTGCTGTGCTTCTAAGGCAGGGATGGGCAATTATTTCAGCTAGCGGGCAGCTTAATGAGTTTTGGTGAGCTGTAGAGGGCTGCAATGGTAGCCTCATCCCTTGACAGGTGCCCTGCCCCCTGGTTACCATCTTGGGACTGGAAGTCCCACCACCTAACCCTTGACCTTTGCAACCAGATGTCCCTTCCCTTTCCCCAAGAAGTATTCCTTTTAGGAAGGGGACCCCCCCCCCCCCACATGCCCCCTCATGGATCACAGGCTCTGCCGTCAGTGGCAGCAGCAGCAAGTGGCAGACTCTCAGGGTGCTCATGACCCATGCAGGCACAAATGAATGGTGGCATATGGCTCAAACCAGTTCCAGGAGCCGCACGTGGCAGCAAGGAGCAAAGCCAGGTTGACCAGGTCCCCCGGCAGCTGCAGCAGTGGCCCTGCCCAGAACCTATGCATGCTGGCCAGGGCCGGGGCCCTCCCATGCCTGAGGGTGGGAGAGAAGCATGTGGGATAGGAAGGGTACAATTAATTGGTGGCACTAGCAGGCTGGATGAAATTGCCTGGAGGGCCAAATTAGATACGTAGGCTGTATTTTACCCACCCCTGTTCTAAGGCAAGTGGTTACAACCTAACATTTTGGCTTTCTGTTATCTGTGCTTGCATATGAAATGGGCCAGTGTTCCAGACAGGGTCCCAGTGGAGTTTAGCCCATGTTACAGGCATCTCCAATTGTCTCTAATTAGCACCCTTGTTGGTAATCTCAGCCCAAGGGCAAGGAGATGAAAACACTTCTCATGCCTCCAGATGTCTCCTGCATAGGTTTGAGGGCAGGGTGTACAGCCAAGGACTAAGTTCAAAAACAATGAATGTCCTTCAATAAACATGAACCATGAGAAAGGATCAAAGCAACTGGTGTCCTCAGGACAGTCGCTTTGTGCTGCACCTGGGGAGGAAGAACCAGCACCATACCTACAGGCTGGAGAACTCCCTTCTCATCAGTACAGAGGCAGAAAAGGATCTTGGAGTCATCACTGATGCCAAGATGAAGATGAGCCGGCAGTCAGGAAGGCCAACCGCACCTTGTCATGCATCCACAGATGCATTTCGACCAGGTCCAAGGAGGTGATCCTCCCCCCACTGGTCAGGCCGCAGTTGGAGTACTGCGTCCAGTTCTGGGCACCGCACTTCAAGAGGGATGTGGACAACATGGAGAGGGTCCAGAGGAGGGCCACTCGCATGATCATGGGGCAGCAGGGCAGGTCCTACGAGGAGAGGCTACGAGACCTGAACCTGTTCAGCTTCCACAAGAGAAGACTGAGGGGGGATCTAGTGGCCTGTTACAAACTAGTCAGAAGGGACCAGCAGGCATTGGGGGAGTCCCTGTTCTCCCAAGCACTACCAGGAGTGACTAGAAATAACGGTCACAAGCTGGCAGAGGGTAAATTCAGACTAGATATCAGGAGGCGCTACTTCACTGTCAGGGTGGCTAGGATCTGGAACCAGCTTCCAAGCAAAGTGGTGCTGGCTCCTACC